GGGGGAGGGGGTAAGAAAAAAGAAGAAATGAAAGCAACAGAAATGACTGAAAACCAGAAAACCGAAACTCTCCTGTTTTGTGGAAATTCAGTATCAGAAAAGTAAGCAGAAACTGAAACAGAAACTTGCCCAGAGAAGAGTGACTTGACACATTTTGAAGCAGATTTCAAAGTGGAAGCTCCCTCTTCAGGAAGCCAAAACTTGGCAAAACACTTGCATTTGTTGTTTAAATAGTAAAACCAGAACACCTGTTACTTAGAAATAACAACAACAGAAGAACAGGAACGTAGAAATACAAGGCCAGAAGGATGACCTTACTTCTGTCCCCTGCAAGTCAGGAGTGACCACACGAGTGAGTGGTCTGTGCAGAAATTCTGCAGGCTGTTTTGCTGCACACACCCACCCCACGGGCTCACCTGTGCTGCAAACCGTGCAATAGCTCCGGCTGCCCTGCAAGCCAGCTGAAGACCTGCGAGAAGACAGAAACAAGGTCACTGCTCCAGCATGGCACCCAGAGAAAGCAGGAGAGGTTCAAGACAGTTCCAGTATACAGGATTGCTATGATATGAAATAAATTATTTTTGATGTTATCCTGTAGGCTGCCAGTTCTTGAAAAGACATGGCTGAGAAATGAAGTGCTGAGTACAGAGTCTGAAACATTTCTGCCCAGATAGCGTGAGAAGCGTGTTAAAGTGGGAGAGAGCCGTAGGCTTGTTTCCTGTATGGAGGAGAAGAAAGGAAAACAATACAAACAAATTTGTGAGAAGAATAAAACTGTATTGGGAAAAGCCTTTTGGAGTTAGACACTTTTTTTGCTTTGAGGGAAGATATAACTTCAAAACTCACATTCCTCTCTTACTGTTTGTCAATACTTTCATTTTGGACTTGAAAGGGAAGCTCGCATTCTTGCTGTCCCACTGCTAGCAAGAGGAAAAATGCCCACCATGTGTATCTAGCCTCTAGTACGGAGCTGCGGTTGAGAATTATGAGGAATGCGGGAACAATCACAAAACTTAACGTACAGTCAGTGTTTTCTGGATAGCTTTGTGGTGGTTTTAGTTCCAGTTCCTTTCCAAACTGAAAGCAAGACTTTTAAGGCAGACAGAGTGCTGGAGAGCCCTTTCCCAAAGCTTTACACAGAGGTCTCTCGTGCCCCCAGTAAACCAGCAACTGTGACAAAGTGCTGTTTTCAGAGCAGACAACCTAGAGGGGAATCAGCAAAAAAAATCTGTGATTGCAGGGATGCTTAAAAGAGAGTCCTGAACAAACGCAGGGGAGGAGTTAGTGATGGAAAGCAACGGCAGGAGCAAGCCAAGGGTGCAGTCCTTGGAGGGACAGCAGTTGGCCCCCCGCGCCCCAGGGGTGTGCAGCACTCCAAGGCTGCTGACCCTGCCTCCCATACATCTTCCCGCAGTGGTGTCCATACAGCTGGCTGTCCACAGGGGGGGATATACTTGTAGGTGTGTCGTCGGGATACGAAC